AGCAGGCAGCGTGCTGCAGTGGCGGAACTGGAAGTGGCGGTGGAAGGGGAAATCCCGGGCACAGAGGTGTCTGGAGACCCCACTCTGGATCTGCTGCCAGCGCCAGGTGCTCCAGATCCTGGCCCACGGCCTGTCAAAGTGCCAGCAGCACGGCTGCAGATGCCTCCTGAGGTTTGGGGGGGGAGTAGCGATCTGGCAACTTATGGCTTGCGTGCCCACAAAAAGGGATCTGCATGCCAGCTGCGGCATGGGTGCCATAGATTGGCCATCGCTGCTATAGCCAATCAGGAAGCTGACTGGTAAAAAGGGATCTGCATGCCAGCTGTGGCATGGGTGCCATAGATTGGCCATTGCTGCTATAGCCAATCAGGAAGCTGACTGGATGATTTTGTGTCAATCACTAACTCAGTGACTAACCTATTTTACAAGACTGAAGTAACATTGAACAGTGTGAGGGTAGGACACACAGTGGAATGGGCCTCTGAAGCAGGTTGTGATAAACAAAAACATGAAGGGTCCCGTCACCAATGTTCATTGTACTTCTTTATGACTTTCTGAGGGAGACTAATAAGGGCAAAATATCCTCGTTTGTCCTCCTTGACATATCAGCAGCCTTTGATGCCACTGACCGTGGTATCCTGGGGAGGCTCTCTGGGTTGGGAATAGGTCAGGTCTTGGCCTGGCTCCGGTCCTTCCTGGAGGACTGTCCTCAGAGAGTATAGCTTAGGGAGATGCTGTCTGCTCCGTAGACTCTCAACTGTGGAGTCCCACAGGGGTCAATCATCTCCCCAATGCTATTTAGCATATATATGTCTTACACATACATGTGTTAACCTATGTAAGCATACTGTACAGTATATGTGTTACACATACATGTGTTAACCTATGTAAGCCGGCCCGAGTAGACGTAGTCTAGAGGGGCAGGGTAAAAATCGAATAAATAAATAAATAAATCAGGAGTTTTGGCGCTTCATGTCACCAATATGCGGACAACACTCAGCTCTTCTCTCTCCTTCCACCCCTCTGCAGAGGATGCCATTCCATCCCTTGAGCACTGCCTAGACACCATGCTGAGATGGATGAGGGATAACAGACTGAGGTTGAACCCAGGCAAGATGGAAATCCTGTGGGTGGGTGCCCCTAGTGTTTATGGTCTAGGTGCTTACCTATTCTTGGGGGGGTACTCTTTCCGTGAAGGATTAGGTGCACAGCTTGGTCATACTCCTGGACCCAGCACTGTTAATGGAATCCTAGATAGCGTCTGTTGTCCATTCCACCTATTCCAGATAGCGTCTGTTGTCCATTCCACCTATTTCCATCTAAGGCAGATTGCCCAGTTGCGTCCCTACCTTGACACCGCTCACCACGTTGGTTCATGCACTGGTAGTCTTAAAATTAGCCTACTGCAATGCTCTCTACGTGGTGCTGCCCTTGGGACTGTTACGGAGACTCCAATGGGTCAAGAACTCGGGACTATTACGGAGACTCCAATGGGTCAAGAACTCGGTGGCCAGATTGTTGAGTGCAGTAAGCAGACATCAACAGATTTCTCCCACCTTGCACTGGTTACTTGTTCACTTCCGTGCCAGGTTCAAGGTGATGGTGTCAACCTTTAAGACCCTAAACGGTTTAGGACCTCAATATCTGGCAGAATGCTTCCTTCCGATCAGATCTATCCACCCTATAAGATCCTCCCAGGCCAGGCAGTTGAGAGTTCTGACCCCAAGGGAGGCCTTAAAAACGATGACCAATTGGGCCTTCTTGGTGGTCGCCCTGCAAATATGGAACAGTCTCCCACCAGAAATTCGCCTGGCCCCTTCATTGGGAATCTTTAAAATGTGGTTATTCAGACAGGCCTTCCCAGATATTAAAACATCCTGCTATGTGTTTTTAATAACTAACATCCAACCCACTCCCATGCTTTTATTTTACTTTATTGTGCTTTTATTATGTGGGTTCTTAGTGTAACTTGTTTAGTACCTTTTATATTTTGTTTGGTCATTTGATTATCCTTGTTGCTATGTTATTATTTTACCCTGTTTTGTAAACTGCCCAGAGTGGCCTTGGCAGCAAGATGGGCAGTATAAAAATCAATCAATCAATCAATCAGTTTAATAAAACGTCGATATACGATTAAGTAAGATGCACCTGGGTACTGAAATCAACATGCTTGAGTCATTTGTGAAATATGTTCAGAGTTTCAAAACACGGAAAAAACACTTAAGACTATCCTGCCTGATAGTGAGTATGAAAACTGTAATAAAAAGTACAAAACATTTTTATGAGGCCAGGACTGAAGATGGTGTTCTAGAAGGAAGCAGTAAGTTTCAAGGTCAAACTTCTAATGTAATTATCGACATACTTGTCAATTGTCTGCTTGAAAGAGGAGAACAATATTATTCAGTAAACAACAAGTTGGCTTTTTGAAAGACTTGGCTTTTGTATCAGTTCAACAATTAAGAAAACATACATTTTCTCTACAACAGACGTATCATGATGATTAGGGAAACACATTAACAGATGAAGTTGTTGCTTTCCAGAGTTTACTACAACGCTGCCTTTCCAGAATCATCATCAGAAAAGAGGACAAAGATTATCTAAATACAGTGGTGCTTCAACTTGCGAACATCACGACATATGACCATTTCGAGTTACAGTACAGCCAGCTCTGGCCCCACAATTTTGCTTCTACTTGTGACTGGAGAGTTACAACCAGAAAAAGGCAGGGAGCTCAAACTGCTAACCATTGGTGTTGAAGAGGCTGCTTCTTTGTAGCTCTTTCGCCCCAGCAGTTCGAGAGTTTGCAGTCAAAGGAGGCTTTGGACTGCCTGGTAAGGTGCTGCTTTCTGCTTTTTAAAAACTGTTCTGGGTGGGTTTTGCAGTGTGGTATTGGGCTGGATGGGGGGATTTTGTTTCTATGCTGTGATGGGTCTTGCAGGGTCTGTTTGCCCCCCCCCCCCAATTTCTGATAGGCCTTGCAGGGTTTGTTTTTGGTCCCCCCCCATTTCCGATGGGTCTTGCAGGGTTTGTTTGCTTTTTGCTTTGTTTTTGCATTTTCAAAAGGTCTTCCGTGGTTTGTTTGCTTTCTGCTTTGCTTTTTTTGCATTTCTGAAGGGTCTTGCATGGTTTGTTTGCTTTTTGGTTTGCTTTTTTTGCATTTCTGATGGGTCTTGTGCGGTTTGTTTGCTTTTTTTCTTTTTTCCTCCAGCCGGAATGGATTAATTGCATTTCTAATGGGTCTTGCATGGTTTGTTTGCTTTTTGCTTTGCTTTATTTGCATTTCTGAAGGGTCTTGCATGGTTTGTTTGCTTTTTGGTTTGCTTTTTTTTTGCAGCATTTCAATGCATTTCTATGGGAAATGGTGCTTTGACTTACAACCATTTCATTTGGCCAGAACAGATTAATTGCTTTTCTGACAGGTCTTGCAGTGGGTTTTTTTTTGGTGACTTTTTTCTTCTGCCAGAACAGATTAATTGCATTTCAATGCATTTCTATGGGAAATGGTGCTTTGACTTACAACCATTTCAAGTTACGACCAGAGTTCTGGAACCAATTAAATTCATAAGTTATAGTGCATACTGTAGCAAATTCTTGCGAGAAACATTATCTCAGCCTACCCAAATGTTGATACAGTATAGCATTTCATCTCTACCTGACATTACATCTCTGTAGCTGAAGAGAGCATTCCTGTTCAAAATTAAAGCTTATAAAACCAGTCCATGCAAGAACACCTCAACAGATTAACAATTACGTCAACTGAGAATGACATATTGAAGCAAACTGATTTTGAAGACATCATTAGTGAATTTGCAAAACAGAAAGCAAGAAAAAGAACATAAACATTGCTTTCTATTTGAAACCTCACAATATTGCCTTAACCTATTTGAAGTAAGAGCAGTCCTACCAAAAGGAATCCTCTCTGCACTTTGTGCAGTACACTTCTCTGCATGATTTATCCAGATTGCCTGGCCTTGGTATACTATCTTATCCCTGTTGGATCCCCAATCACATTTTGAGCAGCAAATTGACATATCCGAGGTGTTATTTTGGCACTGTAACGAGGTAGCACTTTAACCCTTTGGCACCAAGCCTCTTCTTTGTATTGCAGGTTTTTCTTTGGATACACTTTTCGTTTTCTAGTATTGAAGATTACTTTAGCGGGTCAGTCTTATTTAGATTTATTTATATTACATTGTTCATGTTGTGTGACCTACTTAGGTGGGAAGTAAAGGAGAGGGAGGGAGAAAGAAGGCGCCCCACTATTATATTTTTTGCCCAGAACCTTGAGTCGGGTCCTGATCTCAGCATGATGAACATTGTCATCCCCCACTCAATAATTTAATTTTTACAACAGCCCTGTGAGGTAGGCTAAGTCAAGAGGCAGCGACTAGCCAAGGTCGTCCCTAGCCTTGTGGGCCAGAGATTTGAATCTGAGTGCCAACGAGGGCTCTTGCAGCTGTTGCGACGCCACCCACCACAAGAAATGAATGGGATTTAAAGTAATCCGTGCACAAGGAGCGGGGAAGAGACGTCTCTCTCTCTCTCTCTTTTCTGACTGGCCGCCCAGGATTCAAGACCGAAGCCAGACGCTCCGGCTAACCTCTCCAAGGTAATTATACCAAGAGCAACTGGGGGAGAACAAAAAGGAATGAACAGGACCTTCCCCCTCCCGCCTCCATCCGTCTTTCGGGTTTCCCTCCTTCAGGAGGAAAGCAACGGCGGTGGAGGAGGGAGATCAAGAGAAGCGGCATCGCAGGCTCTGATTGGTTGGCTCTTCGCGCAGGCGCCTGAGGCGACGAAGCGAACCCATCAGGCCTTTGGAAGCGGGATAGACTTTGTCAAGGAGACCGGACTGTTTACGGCTACCGCGTCTTCCTTCTCCTTTGTATACCCGCCCCTACATCCCCACCCCGTAACCGTTCAGAAGTCCCTAGATCAAGAGAAGCGGCATCGCAGGCTCTGATTGGTTGGCTCTTCGCGCAGGCGCCTGAGGCGACGAAGCGAACCCATCAGGCCTTTGGAAGCGGGATAGACTTTGTCAAGGAGACCGGACTGTTTACGGCTACCGCGTCTTCCTTCTCCTTTGTATACCCGCCCCTACATCCCCACCCCGTAACCGTTCAGAAGTCCCTTCTTGCTCCGTTCCAGCCAGGCGAGAAATCATGCCTGTGCGCTGGAAGGTGAGACCGCCGCCGCTTCCGCCGCCTTTTCCTTCCCTGAAGGCTTCCTCGGTCTCGCCTGCTAGGAGAGGCTTCTGATTGGAACGAGCGTTCCATTTCTGACTCTTCCCCCCCCTCTATGGGGTATTTGGTACTGCCTGCTGCGCCCTCAGCAGTTTCGAGGGGAGCGCCCATTGTAGCTCCCGCGGGGTTCCAGTTCCATGCCAGATAACCAATCGGGGCCGGGCAACCAGCTGTCACTCATGCCCTCTGCCCGAGACAGGTTTGGAGGCTGGGAGGTGCTGGGCGGGCCTCGGAAGTGGGTGAGGTGGCCCCGTTTTTCCCGAGCCGTCACTCAATTGGGATGTGGGTACCACTTGGAGTAAACTGACACGGGAAGGATTGGAAAGCGGGTGAATGTTAGGACTGCCATTTCCCCCCCTCCCCCTTTAAGGCTCCAGTGTCTGTAACAGAGCTCCGTGCCAGGCAGAAATCCAACAGGTAATATCCCATCTGGAATGGGTGTGGAATAAATTAACAGTGAAAACTTCCCCTATTCAGTTTATGTCTCATGTAGTGTTGAAAGGCATTGGAGCCTCCCAGGAAAGCAATGGCACTGCTTTATTGTTATGGGCTCTCACATACCTTCGGAGTTAGGGCAACCCTATATTGCCACGTTGGCCTATCATTAACAGCCTTGCTCAGGTCTTGCACAGCCAAGGTTGTGGCTTCCTTTATTGAGTCAAGCTATCTCACGTTCAGTCTTTCTCTTTTCCTAATTCCTTCCACTTGTTCTAGTCCAATTGTCTCTTCCCATCAATCTTGTCTTCTGATGAACCTATTGTCTGAAATACAATAGGTTCAGTTTAGGCATTTTAGCTTCTAGTGACAATTCAGGTTTGATTTGATCTAGTGTCTACATGTATGTTTGGAAGTCTGGTACTGTATTTGTAAATATCTCATCCGACACTACATTTCAAATGAAATGACTTTCCCCGTCAGTTTTCTTTATTGTCTAGCTTTCCTGTGTGTTTTGTAATCAGGAATACCATTGGCCTTGGCCTTGGTTTCCAGGATACATATCCTTTTCTTTTACAGCCAACCTTTAGAGACTCAGGGCGCCATCAACATTAGTGGCAGGGAGAAAGTTCAGGTGGGCTAGTCAGCCTCTCAGTCTTTTTGTGATTTCTTGGCTGCATTATCTGTTTTAATAGATGACTGGATCAAGATATAGTAAACCTTTACCAGTTCTTTTTCTTCACTGCAGCATTAAAGTTATGTAATTCTTTTATACTCATGAGTTTTGTCTTAGTGTTCAACTGCAGTCCTGCTTTAGAACTTCCTTCTTTCACTTTCATCAGAAATTGTTTTAAGTCATTGCTGCTTTCTGCCAGAAACATGGTATCATTGAGATATCCTAAATTATTGATACTTTATTCTCTAATCCAGTTTTTCATATGACATCTGCACATAGATTGAATAGATAGGGAATACTGTTGAAATAGTATATTGCTCTATAGAACTTTCAGCATCTTTAAGATTGAAATTTCCTTTTGATTTCTGGGATCCTATGGAAGAAATCTCTTATTTTTCCCTCTTTTTGTTGTCCTCTGTTAGTGCATGAAGATTATTATCATAGTTTTCTTTGTCCTTACGTGCACATAACTGAAAAGTTGCATTTAGTATTTTGACTCTATTTCTGTTGCCATTTACTTCTGTCATAAACAATTGCAAGCGTTTCATCACATATCCATTTAGGCCTTTTTTCAGTTGATTGCAGGAAGTCTTTTTCATTGTTTCCTGATAATATTTCTAGTTTAATTATTTATGTTGATTAAATTTCGTAAACCAATGCAAAGCAAAGTGTGCTGCTTATATACTGCTCCATAGCACTTAAAACATTATATGGGTGGTTTACAATTTAGTTATGTAGGCTTCATCCCCACCCCAGTGAGCTGTGTACTCCTTTTATTGATCTTGGAAGGTTGGAAGGCTAGGTCAACCTTAAGCTGACTGTGTAAGCCTGTTGGGATCAAACTCAGGTTGTGAACAAAGTCTTTGACTGCAGTACTGTACTTCACTTTAACCACTGCTATGAGGCTCCTTACAAAAGCAACTCTATTCTTTATATGGTGTTCACATTCTTCAGGAATGTTACTTAATGCTGGCACTAAATTTTAGGACCTAGAAAAAATGTATCTGCATGGGTTCCCCCCCCCCATATTATTTTGTAATTACTATGGCTTTCAAAGGGGAAAATATATTTGTTTGTTTCCTAAAACAATCTGATGAGAATTGAGTGTGCATGTTGGGCTGTAGAAGCCATACAAAATTGAGAGGAGGATCAGAGTGGAAAGTGTGAGAAGTGCCTTATCTATACTCCAGTTAGTGAAATATTCTGGAGTTGCATTCCTGTTTGAAAGTAGGGTCACACTTCAAAATGTTGCTTCAGAGGGCTGACTACATTAACAAATAATACAGAAAGTGATCCTGGATTGGGACAGTCAGATTTCATCATTTTCTGTTGACTATGTGACATACAAATCAGTGCACATTGTTGGCATATTTGCAAAGGCAGTGTTGCTAAGAGAAGGCTACCCCACTGACAGTTCAGTATACTCTTTTACAGTCCAGATAAATCAAAGGTTGCTATTTGCATTACAAAAAAGGGACTACATTTACTTGAAGGAATGTGTGGAGTGAGGACAAAGCCTACCCCTTCCCCCATGCAGAGCAACCTGTTCATCAATAAAGAGATGCATTCTATAGTTCAGTGGTTTAGCTATCTGGGGTTGGGGGTTCAGTTCCCCACTATGCCTTTCTGACAGGGAGTGGACTCTGATGTTTCATAGGGTCATATATATTTTTGTTTTCCTTTTAAAGTCCAGACTCCAGAGATAATAATGGAGCTTCTGGCATAATATGTATTTTGCCCTGAGTAGTATCTGTAAAATGTTTTTTGTACATATAGCTCCATTGATATTTTTAAAATGATTTTGTTTGCAGCAGAAGGATTGCTATTTAAACAGAACAAAAGCAAGAATGAGTGAATGGTGTTGTTTGAAATTGGAAAGAAAAAAAATTACAGTCTCAGAGTCATGGTGGAGTTAGAGCCCATTGGGAACTTTGTCGAAGTGTAGCATCAATCACTTTTTCACATTTTGTCTTGCTCTAGGGATTGAGTGAGTACAAAAGGAACTTCAAATGGAGGAAACCAGATCAGTCTCGGCTTTGTAGTCCTATGCTTGATCAGAAATGCCAATGGGCTGGACTTCGATCTGATGAGCTTGGTGAGCCAAACTGATTCTTTTGTCATTTTCAGACACTGCACTGTTTTCAGAAGGAGTCATTATAGTTACCTCTTTTTAAGCATTAATTGTACAGGGTAAGTAATACAAATTGGATCACATAACAGAGGAGAGTCCAGGGGGCTAAATGCAATGTTAACCTTAGCTTTAGTCTCATTTCTTTTTTCATAGTTGTGGTGCATGTGTTGTTACCACAGTGTTGTCGAATATAACTATACAGTATTACTTGGCTGGAAAAAAACTTTCTGAAGACGTGAAGGAAAGTTCAGAATCACATAGAATAATAGAAAAGCAAAGTTGGAAGGGGCCTACAAGGCCATCAAGTCCAACCCCCTGCTCAGTGCAGGAATACAATCAAGGCATATCTGCCAGGTGATTGTCTAAGTTTTTCTTGAATGCCTCCAGTGTTGGAGCACTCACCAACTCCCGAAGTAACTGGATCCACTGTTGTACTGCTTAGGAAGTTAGGAAGTTTTTCCTGATATTCATCCGAAATCTGGCTTCCTTTAACTTGAGCCCATTGTTGCGTGTCCTGCACTCTGGAATGATCTTAGAATGAAGCTTAGAATGATGAAACTTAGAATGAAATGAAAAGGTATATTGACATAAAAAATGATACAGTGATGGAAATGAAATGACAAGCAGAAATGTGAAAGTGATACAACCTAAGTTAATTGATTTTCAGATAGTAATTTTTATCATGGCGTGAATGATATCTATGACCACTTCCAAAGTGTAATCTGTTATGGCTAAGCTTGATAACTCTTGTTACATATTGATTCCTAAAATCTAGATAGTTCTTAATAAAAATTAAACACTTGGTCAGCTTATTAAATTATCACTTTATTAGAGTCGTTGCTGCTTTATGCTGTGATGTGTGTAAGTATGTTGTGTCAGTGTGAGTTTTAATAAGATTACAGTGGTGCCTCGCTTAACGATGTTAATTGGTTCCAAAAAAACATCGCTATGGGGAAACATCGTTAAGCGAAACGCGTTTTCCCATAGAGATGCATTGAAAACCAGTTAATCTGTTCCAATAGGCATGGATTGCCATCCTTAAGCGAAAAAAACCATAGGAAACATCGTTAAGCGATACAATGTTTCCTTCATTGGAATGCATTGAAGCCTATTCAATGCATTTCAGTGGTTTTGCGATGTCCATTTTTGCAAATTTAAGTGTGTCTTAAAAGGTTCAAAAACTGTTTTAAATGCTTGGAATTGTTAGTGAACCTTCTAAAACGGGTGCAAACTTAACTTGGCTTTGATCTGACTTTTCGTTAATTTTTGCTGAATTTTTCCCCCAACAACTTTTGACAGCTGTCAAAATTTGACAACTCCATGCTTTCCTAAGGGGGAGAAAAAAATTCACAAAAAAATTAACGAAGACTTAGAACGAAGCCAAACTAGGTTTGCACAGGTTTTGCAAGGTGCTCTAACGAATCCAAGCATTTAAAACAGTTTCTGAGTCTTCGTTAATTTATTGTGAATTTTTTTCTCCCCCATAGGAAACAATGGAGCTGTCAAAAGTTGGACTCCATTGTTTCCTATGGGGGAGGAAAAAATTCACAAAAAAATAATGAAAAGTCAGCAACTGTTTTAAATGCTTGGGTTCATTAGAGCACCTTCTAAATCGTGTGCAAACTTAGTTTGGCTTTGTTCTGAGTCTTCGTTAATTTTTTGTGATTTTTCTTCTCCCCCATAGGAAAGCATGGAGCTGTCAAATTTTGTGGGGCATCCTTGTTGTGGGGCAATGTAGGGCATCCTTGTTGGTTCCAAACATTCTCTTCTCCACATCTGGCTAGGATTTGAAAAGTGTGGGAACATGTAGGATACATTGTGAGCAACCACAATTCATAATATTGTACAGCATCATAATTGATTGCATGGCATGTCTGTCAAGACATTGGCCATGGGTTCCAATTTTATATAGTCTGAGCCAACATGAGATATCATTAACTTTGGTCATAAACTAGCATGTTTTTGAACTTTGAATTAATATTTATTTTTAGGAGTATTTCTTAATTTACGTAAAGAAATGCTATTCTATACCTTTCTGCACTGTACGTGATTAGTACTAGAAAGAACAAAATGTCTGGTGAATCAGAAGCCCCTAATATTTGAGATACATTGATTTGATTTTGCATGTTTTACAGGAATCTCAAGAGAACCCAAATTTATTTCCAAAAGAAGAGTGCCTTATTATGGTACACAGGTTTCAAAGTCCTTTGAGTGGAATGGGGCAAATGATTTGGAGAAAGACGCATCATCAGAATTTGAAGCCCACCAACCTATGGAGTTGCACCTGAAAGACAGGAAAGATTATGTAAATCAAGAAAAAATTAAAACTCCAGATGCACCCAGGCTTTCTGAAAAACTACAGCTGGATTCCACAGGTTCTAGATGTGAAACAGCTATAGATCTTGAAAAAAGTAAACAATCACCACGTAAAACTTCAGGGCATGAAAACAGAACATTAGGATCTGCTGGAAAGGACTCCGAAAAAATAAGCAACGGGGTAGGGAATTACTACAAATTGTCTTATTTTGATGATTCAAGCAAAGACTGAGACTCTAGAAAATAAGCTGTCAAAACTGTTGTCTGATCTGCAATTTTAGAAATCCTTTTTCATTGTAATGCAGTGTTATGATCTGCCAAGGTAGTTGTTATAGTAATATTAAACCTTGTGGAAGAGCTTTGACTTTCTTGTTACCCAATTTGGAAAAGACAGAGAGTCCTTAGCTGCTGCCGCTAGCTAAGGTGGTTTGATTATTAATTAGGGACAAGGCAAGCACAAGAGCCTGGGAGGTACAGGATAGAAGAAGCAGAAGGCTGGGAAAGGAGAAGACAGTGAAATTTACATTAGAAATGCTGGAAGATTGAATGGGCTGGTTAAGTTGGTCTTCTCCTCCAAAGGGAGGAATGAGAGAATGAAAATAATAGTACAGTTTTGTACACACCTACTGATAAATTAATGCCATGCAGTTCAATAGGTCTTACTCTTAGGTCAGCTGATACAGATAGGATTGTAGCAAAAAACAAGAAAAAAGAGATATATGTTGGGTAAGGCACCATAAAGGAGACTGAAGTTTACATATTGATTTTGAAATAGTGAACTTATTACCATTCTTCAGGTTACAGTCGTGCCCCGCTTAACGATTGCCCCATATAACGACGAATCCGCTTCACAACGATGTTTTTGCAATCACAATTGTGATTGCAAAATGATGTTTTAAATGGTTTTTTTTCCGCTTTACGAAGATCAGTTCCCTGCTTCGGGAACCGATTCTTCGCATTACGATGATCAGAACAGCTAATCGTCGGGTTTTCAAAATGGCCGACAGGTGCTCAAAATGGCTCCCCGCTTTGTTTTTGGATGGATTCCTCGCTCTACAGGCACCGAAAATGGCCGCCCCTATGGAGGATCTTCGCTGGACGGTGAGTTTTTCAGCCCATTGGAACGCATTGAACAGTTTTCAGTGTGTTTCAATGGGCTTTTTTATTTCACTTTACGACGTTTTCGCTCTACAGCGATTTCACTGGAACGAATTAATGTCGTTAAGCGAGGCACCACTGTATTTTGCATTCATGTTGCACAAACTATTTCTGGATCAAACTTTTACTTTCATTTTACATACATGCAAATGTTACTGTTGATACTTAAGGGAACAGAATGTAGCTAAAAATGTGTAAATTCTAGAGATAATTATAGAATGTATATTTTTCCTTCATCAGCTTGATCCAAGTAAATTTTCTTGCAAATTTTAAGCAGACCATTTAAAGTTCAGGATTAGTAGATGCAAATATATCTTCCCAAACTCATTGTCAGTATTTATGGCAGCTTAACAGAGTACTGCGGAGGAGAGCAGGCATGAATATTTCACGATCAAGCAGCTTCCCCAGAAGTTCTGAGTATCAAAGGCAATTTGTTTGGAAAACCCCTCAAAAGCTGTCACCAGTAATTGCAGCAGACCAGGTAAATGTATTCTCGAAGGCTTTCACGGCTTGGATCTGATGGTTTTTGTAGGTTTTTCAGACTGTTTGTTCTGAAGGTTTTTCTTCCTAACGTTTAACCAATCTCTGTGGCCGGCATCTTCAGAGGACAGGGGTTAGAACACAGACACAGTTCTAACTCCTCTCCTCCAGAACATGGCCAAACTGCCTGAAAAACTTAGAACAGACCAGGTAAACTTCAGGGGATTTCAAAATTATTATAATTTATTTAAATGTGGCCTCTTCCTATACATGTTTAATTAAAAGCAAGTTGCCTAACTCAGTTCAGTGGGTCTTTCTTCTTAGTATGTTCGCATATTTATCCATGGAGTCTTCAGAAATTAATTTTGTTAATTACAAGTGCAGTCCTGTGGAGTTTTATGTGAAAGGAAGTCCAACTCTGCTCAGTGGAATTTACTCCCTAGTAAGGCTGTATGGGGTTACATAGCTGATACATTAAATGAGTGTTACACTGCTGGTATATTATAAGAACGTCTGGCTATAGCTCAGGGGTTTGGGCGTATGGCCGTGGAGCCAGAGGTTGGGAGTTCAGTTCTCCACTGTGCTTCCTTGACATGGGCTAGACTCAGTGATCCATAGGGTCCCTTCAAGCTTTGCAGTTCTAAGGTTGTCATCATCATCATTATCATCATCATCATATGAAAAAGATGTTTTATGGCTCTGTTTATATTTTGCGAAGTGTAATCCATAGAAATAAAATTTACATTTTCGTAGGCATAGCTTGTGTTTACTAAGCTAAATCAGTCCTGTAATAAATGAGGAAGGTGTTTCTTGGAACTGGAGACTTTTCAATTCAATGGAAACTTGTGGCATGATGTAGAAAAGTTAAGCAGTATTAAGTCCCACTGGTTTCAGTGGGAAATTTGATCAAGCACTGGGAGTTGCATTAATATATTTTTTTGGAAATAAAGTTTATTCACAGTTCAAGTCCATCCATTCCTCCATTTAAATCTCCTGTCATTATTCCTGAAACTGAATATGAAAGGAGTTTCAAAGCATCACCCCCTATGAAAGAGCTAAAACAGCTGAACTGTTTGGAAGAGGGAGAAAGCCCTGAATCTGAACCTGCTGAAATCTCCTTTCGTGAAAAGGTATTCTGGTGTTTTATTTAACTATTTTGTAAAAATTCATGTACTATTTTTAGAATATTTTTAACATGCCACTTCAGATGTTTAGACTGAGTCACTTCAGATTCTCTGCTTGATTGATGTGATATATGGGAGAAGACGATATTGAAAAACCCAAATACAGTGGTGCCCCACATAGCGATGATAATCCGTGCAGCAAAAATTGTCGCTATACGGATTTGTCGCTATGCAAAAATTAAAAGCCAATAGGAACGCATTAAAACCTGTTTAGCGAGGAATCCGGGCGAAAACACAGCGGGCGGCCATTTTTTTAACTCGGTGGCCATTTTGGAACCACTGATCAGCTGTTGGGAAATCATCGTTATGCGAAAATCGGTAAGCGAAACAGTTTACCGATCATGGCAAAGTGATTTTTTCCCATTAGAAACATCGCAATGTGATCGTAAAAACGATCGCAAAAAATTCGCCGCTATGCGGATTCGTCGTTAAGCAAGACACCACTGTAATATAGAGGCCTAGATCTAGCATTGTGCTGGTGCTGCAGTAGCAGTGAAACGGGAACTCTTCTCCTTCCTCTGTAGCCCTTGGTACTGCCCGAGAGCCATTTCTGGAAGATTTTTCTAACCCTCCAGAGTGTGGCTGGAAATCTATTGGGTACTAATGTAAAGCCTTGCAGGAGCAGTAACAGGATTATCCTTCTTGCACAAACATTGCCCTTGCACAAGCAGAGATCACTTATTAGGGATAGTCAAGTAATGCCTGTGCAGAGAGGTCCTAGATGCATCCTTGCAGAAGAACCATATGGTCAATGTGTGAGCGGGTTTCTCTGAACAGGATCCTGGCCCAGGTTTTAAGGATGCACAGAAACCTGCAGTAGGAGGGTAATGTGCCAAAGCAGTTCTATCGCTAATGGCTCTCCCTGAATCTAGGCTAGAGTTTTTGAATTACACAGCATGGATTGTATTAATTATTTCACTGATGCCTTGTGTCTTGAGGTGTGTCATCATGGCCACAACTACACTCACAGAAAGGACTTCACAGTGACTTTGATCATTTCATATTCCAGCCACTGCTGGTGGGAGACTTCTCTTCCCCTCTATGAACAGCTCTGAGGTTGGGGCTCATCACGCTGTGAAGCTGGAGCTGCTGGAATTGCCGCCGAGGCAAGAACAGTGTCATTGCCTGGCCAGTGTTGTATAGACTTCCTAGTTTCCTCAGCAGTGCTGGCTGACGACATTGTTTTTGCTGTGATGGATGGTTCCAATGTCTCCTTTCCCCCTTCATGGCAAGCAGATGAGACTGCCCTGACCACAGCACTGTCGGTATGGGTGGGAAGCCCCCAACACTGAACAACCTGTGCGTGGGACACTGCCCCACATCCTACTTAAATGCAAGGATGTGAGAAACAGCTGACTTCACTTTTTTTTCAAATAGCCCAGAGTTAAAAAAACCTCTTACTGTTGGTCATCTGAAATATGTAGTTCCTGTCCTTGTTCCTTCTTTGTAAAATAATCATACCCCAAACAAATGTGTTTGGGCATTATTATTGTTAACATAATTAATTTCAAAAATCCCTTCAAACCTTACGAAGAGAGTTTAACTGTAATTTGATACGGTGTCAAACTAGGCATCATAGTAACACATCAAAGTCAGATGCCATTGTTTTAAAAAGGTTTGCGACTGATTTGGCATGATTCATGAGTGGAGAAATTGTTAACATCTATCATACAATGCAGATATGAGTGAATGTATAAATTTATAAAGCTAAGAGTGAAGAGGAGGGAATGGAAAAAAGAGCTCTTAAGTTAACCATTGTTTGTTTATTCTACATATGGAATGTAAAACCATGGTTTCATATGTTATGTCACTCAAACTTCCTTTTTTGAAAATGTTCTGTTATTTTTGCCCCAGAACAAGAAATTGGAAGCAATTTCAAAGATGACAGAAGATCCAGCAAAGCAAACCAAATTAGAAACAAAGCAGAAACAAAAAAATAAGTCATCTTGTTTACATAGAAGCTCTAAGTGAGTGTAATACATCGTAGAATGTAATATGTCAAGGTATTTGGTTCTCACTGTGTTTTGAAACTGTGTATATAAAACATGTCCCCACTGTTAACTGGCATTAGTATCATGGCTGTATTTTCTTTGAGTAAAATCAGTTCTAGAAATGTGTTCAGGAAGTATTTGGCCACTTGCTATCTTCTTCACCTAAATGCTTCCACCTGCTTACTTATTGTTCTGAGATTGCCTAAGTCACCTGTGAATCTTAGATTTGAACTAGGGATTTCCTGATTCATAATCCAGACCCTTAGCAGCTAGGTTGCACCATCTCAACATCAGAAGCCAAAGCAGTGGTAAAAGCTAAAGTCGTGTTGTTGGTTCCAAGGAGATATATTGCCTTACCAAAGTTCTATGGGTTTGGTGGGTTTACTTTAGTTAGAACTAACAGTTGGATTTAGGTCAAAATCTGTCTGTTAAGTGCTGAGGAATAGTTCTCTTTCCATGTTATGCCAATTTTTTTTCCTTTAGGAAGATGAGCACAGAATATAGATCGAATTTCTTGTCTCCAGCTCAGTACATCTACAGAGATGGAGCGTGGTTGCGTATCAGGAAAAATATGTCTGATCAAGTGAGTAAGTGTTTAAAGATTTCCAGCAATACTAATTTAAAAGTTGTAATATGCTGAGCTACTTGAGGGAGGAGGTTGGTCTTTGTAATTTTTATTCAGTTCTCTTTTGTTCCTCCTGTATGAGAGAAAAATAATAAAAAATGTTTTTTTAAATTTATTTATTATAAAATTCCCAATAAAAGAACAACAGTTCAGTAAGTCATTTGTGTCTTCAGTCTGAATTAAATGTGATCTTGGCATCATATGTTACTTGGAGTCACTTCTGTAGGTTTCTACAATTGGTTCTGATAGATGGTAGAAGGATATCCTATGTGAAAAGTTCCCAAAGTTGTGCCATAATGATGGTTCTGTTTTTGTTATCTCAAACTTTGATGGTTCTGGAAGTTTTTATTTGCCAGTCGTAATTGTAATAATGCTGTGGAATAGGTAGTTCATTTACCATTACAGGTTGTGCAGATAACCTTGTGTTTCCATGAAATCCATTCCGCAGTTCAGTAGGCTTAACTGTGCATATGTGTGCATATTTCCAGCCCCCCCATGGGCAAGGGTGTACCAAAGAGCCCTGCCAGAATTGACTTGACAGTGCAGGATCATTGGATCACATCCAGAACTCTGTTTATTACAGTGATGGCCAAGCTACAGTGTGGTTGTAGAATCTTCCTTCAGCCCTCTCCTGAGTCCTTCCGTTCACGCTTGTTTCTGGCACACTTAATCCGTCCACAAGTCATCGGCACTTGTTCTCTCAGCCTCAAGTTCAATTTGTTCCCTTGAAATTTAGTCTTCCTTCATCCTATCCACTCAGTTATATTGTCCTGTCAAGGTGCCCAGGGAGCCTGATGCTCCCTCTTGCGCCTGCAGGGATTGCTCCGGTTGGCAGAGTCTCTGAAACTGTTGCTTACACTTCCAACTGTGTAGTTGGGTTGGGATGGGTTACTTACTGTCAGCAACTTACCGATGAGACCCACCTTGGGCTCTTCCTCCTCCATGGCTAGTAGGCAGCCTTGTCCTCAGGCAGCCTCCCCATGGTAACCTTCTGGTTCAAGGACCTGCCTCACTTAGTTGGCTCTTGCTAAAAATGTTTGGCTTCCAGGGTGCCAGCTTTTCTGATGCATCAACCCACTCTTGCTCATAGTCCTCCCACCATTTCCTCCCTTTCCTGCCCCAGGCCACATCGCTTCAGTTTCCCCCACTCAAGGTGGTGGAACTGCTGCTTTCTGCTTGTTCCGAGGGGTGGCATCAGCCCCTGCTGGCTGTGGGATATTTGATTTCTGTGGGTAAGGCCCCACTGGGTTGGGCTTTCTTCTCTCTGCTGGTGTCACCATGAGACAGCAGCTCCCCTCTCTAGGACTGTCCATGTTTGTTGTGGAGGATGCGGAGATTAGCCTGTCCTCCTACCTTGGTGGTTCCCAACTCACAGTATGAGACATATCAACATGAGCATACAGGAAAGGAATTGATACAGACTAAAAGAAGATGGAAAAATATGTGGGTTTTTTCTCCCAACATTGAATAAAATTATTCTCTCTCTCTCTCTCTCTCTCTCTCTCTCTCTCTCTCTATGTGTGTGTGTGTGTGCGTATGTAGTGGAAATTTCACTCTGAATAGCGTTGCCAGTGTTTAATCTCCCTATCCCCAAATTACTTAGTGTGATAATAACTGAGCCACTGCCCAAAATATTTTTGTAAGAATGTGAGCATGTACAGTTACAGTAAAGTCATTGCAGCAGCTGTTTGAAGACAAGTTGTATCAAAGACTATAATGTGCAGTTTTTTCCTCCTTTAGTTGTATTAGTTTACATTAAATTTCACTTCTGAAAGAATAATGTGGGACAATTCACAGTGGGAGTTTCTTGCTGGGAAAAATGCTATGCTATATTTGATTGTAGTAATCTGGAGGGGGTGTCTTTGTGCCTGTTACATAATTCATTACAGGATTTCTTAATATTCATTTCCTCCTCCTGAGGCATCCTGTTGCTCTTACGGTGTATTATTCTGCTAGATTTTATTGGCTTTTAGTATTAATTTCCATATGGAAAACAATAACTTTACAATAACATATGATCTTAAAGTTGCTGATTTCCAAACATTGATTGATTGATTGATTGATTGATTGATTGACAGTGCTCCTTATTTTCCTATGGTGATAATGTGATTTGATTGTGTCATCATAGGTCATGAAGGTATTTCAGTGCAGGCTTTGTTATCCAGTACACTTCTCAGACTTACAAAATGAACTAGAAATATTTATTCATGACTGGCACTCCCAAGCCAACTACACCAGAGTACAGGTTGCTGTCCTCTGAAGATGCCGGCCACAGAGACTGGCGAAACGTCAGGAAGAACAACCTTCAGAACATGGCCAAAGAGCCCAAAAAACCCAGAACAACAACTAGAAATATTACCTAGAGGTTTTCAGACCAATGAGAAAAGCTCTTGTCTTTGTACACCTTTCATAGGAAGGGAGTCTTTTTGCTTACTTATAACTACAGGAGATTCAGGAAACAGCTGCCCCAATCTGATTGACAAGCAGCCCCCATTTGAATATAAAATACTATACTGGCTTTGCTGTTCATTTAAAATATGTAGGATCTCAAATTCCTCAATAGCTCAGGCCTAGTGATACATTGAATCTAGAATAGTATTTAGAGGAAATTGTGTGGTGAATTTTACTCAGTTGAGCCACCTATTTTTTACTTGCTTTACATCTCTCACTACTAGACACATTCAGCTTGTATGTGTAGTTTTGTGTCACTATCAAAATGTGTGCTGCCCTTCAGTTATACACATGCACAGTCATTCTCTCCTGTTGGAGAGAATGGGGCAGCCTCTACTTGCACCCCTTACCAGGCAAGATATCAAGGAAGTATTGATATCTTAAGCAGTCATGAATAAATGCCACGGTGCTTTTGATGCTCTGATAACTGGAATCCTTGCTTTGTGTGAATTTCAAGTGCCTTTCCCCTTCTTTTTTTGCTATGTAAATAAAAACTACTGGTAATTTTATTCACTGAACTACATAAAGATAATATTTTTAGTATCCCATTTTAAAAACTTGTTTGGATTGATAAATGTGTTTAAGTTACTAAGATTCCAATTATTAAAATGCTAATAACAGTTTAAATGCTTGAGTGTTATAGAGAGTAGTGCTTTGGATATTAAGATGTTATAATTATTTGTTCTTGAGCATTCATTAGGCATACAGAAAATGGCTATGTGTAAGACCTTAATCCTGCAAAATGTCAGGATGGTTATTCAAAATGAATGATCCAAATAGGGCTTTTTAGGGATGCTATGACAAGACAAAAGAAGACTGTCTTACATTTTTGTTGTCTGAACTCTAGGAGGCAGGATAACACAACAATCCCAACAGAATGAACTGAATCGTTTTAGGCTTTGACTAAAATATACTGTAGGTAGTGTCACTATTACTAAACGAACAAATAAATAATATGTATTTCTATATTCCTCTCCTTAGGGTTCTCAATACACTCTAAATACCATGTGGTATATGGAGGTTGGTTGCATTTCTGTTTTTCTTGCTTACAGCAAAAATACAGTTTATGACCCTTAAAAGAGAAATGCAATGTAGTACTAAGCATAGCCATTGCACTTTGTGTACATGCTGAATAATTTATTGACAACTGTGCTTCAACTTCATTGCTTTAAACGCATGCTTTCCCTTAAAATGCTGCATCTGCACTATTTCCCTGTAGCATATTCATATCACTCTGTAATAATACTGGTGCTATGACTGATTCACTGTCTGTGAAGTGTTGTTCTGTGCTGTTGATTGTGTCTGCTAACTGGCAAACAATTCTTAAAAATATTTTTAAAAAGGAAAAACAACCCTGCCTCTTTATGAAATCTTGATATCCAGGTGAAAGAACTTCGAGAAAAAGCAGAAGCTTATAGGCAAAGAATACAAGGAACTCACTTCTCCAGAGATCATTTAAATCAGATACTGTCAGAGAACAATAAACTGTGGGATTTGTCTTCACATTCCAGTACAGAAGAAACTATCAGCAGCAGTGTCAGAGCTCTGGATCTTGCAGGGTAAGGGATTCTGTGCAGAAGAAGAAAAACCTGTAACATGTTGCCTTTAGACATGAAACATCTATTGCACTAGTTTAGCTTGATTTGTAGTAGAGACTTGTAATAGTTTGATTGCATGGCTTCAAGTAGTGGTCTTAATTTCAACCTGTTTCCAGAAAAAAAGTGTGCTGAAAAGATCAGCTTTGGCAAGAAACTCTTCCTTTTGGCTCCTGTAGCAGTAGAGGTGAATCAAGGATCCCTGTAGTATGAGAGTCTATATCTGTTGAATTTTGTATTATTATTATTGCATTTAAAAGGGTAAACTTGTTGTGATTCCTTGCAGAGTCTGCAGAGTCACATGAAAGAATCCAGTACATCAGAGGGTCTTATGGTACCTTAGAGACTAACAAATTCTGTTAGGCATAAGCTTTCATGACCTGCAGCCCACATCATCAGAGCATCTCATGTACTGAGCTGTAGCCCCCCAAAACTTACACCAAATGAAACTTGTAGGTCTTTGAGATGACAGAACTCTCTGGTCAAAATCCCTTTGCATAACTACACAAATGGCATAATTTTTGGAGGCAAATTGTCCCAAGTTAAGAAATCACCAAAGACATTATCAGTACAGTAACAGTATATGATTCAGTGTGCAATTGATAATGTGCAATTCATGATTTCTTAACTTGCGGAAAATTCACTTCCAAAAGCTACACTGTGCTGTGCAGCATAACTATATAAGAGGATTTAGACTTCTTTGTTGCTTTTGTTTTAGTACCTTAATATAGCCCCTTCCCCTCCTGAAGAGTCCAATACATGTTTATTTAGACATAAGGTTATATGGCACCACAGAAAACTAGGATTGCAACCTGTTTATCTGAGTAGAATATAAATGGTCAACATCACTACATTGCATTTGAACAGTGCACATACAGTTTGTACAGGCTGCTCTGCTTTCTTTTCTGCAAGGAAACATGCTGCATGGAATAAGTGACGAAAATATCAGTGGAGCATTCCTACAGAGATTCTCAACTCCATTAGCTTATATTCTAGGACGTGTTTCTCACTGTGGGGTTAAATAGGAAGCCATCTTCCTTTGCCCTGCAACCCTCTGGACTGTATGTAATTTTAATTTTGTACTTTGGTACCATTTCCCCGAAAATAATATCTAACCTGAAAATAAGCCCTAGTATGATTTTTCAGGATGCTCGTAATATAAGCCCTACCCCAAAATAAGCCCCAGATAAATGAAACCCCGCCTTCCGCCATTGTGCAGCAACCAAAAGAAGGTGACATGACTGTATTTGAATACTTGTAGATTGTTATACATGAAAAAAAATAAAACATCCCCTGAAAATAAGCCCTAATGCGTTTTTTGGAACCAAAATTAATATGAGACCCTGTCTTATTTTTGGGGAAACACAGTATATACACAAAACCTGTAATTCTAAGGAATGCTGTTGTTTTTTCCCACTGCTGTTTGACATTTTTCTGCATTTTGTGTGATGTGGAGACCTGCTAATTGTGTTTTTCCAAGCCCAGAGTTCCTTTGGTTGCATAGTTGTTTGTTTGACAACTAGATAAAGACTGCAGTTTTACAGATATAACAAATTGATTACAAGCAGAATTATGAATGGATGTTTTTGAAGTATAAATCTGTCAAATTTGATTTCACATAGATGCTGTTAGCCATAAGTCAGTGTTGAATCAGTATGCTTCTGGTTATGCTGATAAAGGAAAATCGTGAGTTTAACTGACTGCTTGCTTCATCTTTATATAGGGTGCCTGATAAAGAGCTCTCTCAGGATCCTAAATTCTTGCTGCAATCAGAATTGTCAAAGGAGCTGCAGCACAGCAGTACTGAGAAATTGGGCATGTCAGATGCTGCCACTGTTCCAGCCAAACGTCGTCTTGTTTGGGGTGAATCGGGCAATGATGAGAAATTGGAAAATCAGTCAGAGGCATTACGGGAAGAAGAAGATGAAGAAAATGAAAAAAAGCAAGAAAAAGAAGAAGCTCAAGAATTGGAAGAGAGTAATAAAGATATCACTAAAGATGACAAGCACAGGCAAATATTTAAAATTCTTTTTCTTTTCAAATCTATGCTGCCATCCAATTATGATATTATGTAAAATGTCTGTTAAGTAGGGCAATGCTAGTTTGCTTACGTAGTGGGGAAAACTGATTAACTGACATAAGAGAGGTTAGAATTGACTACGTTGCATACTTTGATCTAGAATTTGTTACTAATTGGCCACAGGAACATTTCCAGACAGAGCTATTCATTCAGAAACTGCCAGTTGGCTCTAATTTCCAATCCTGATTTGTAAAGCTTACATAAACTGAAGTTTTCCAGTTTGGATGTAATAATGAAGAGTGAGGTGCTGAAAACTAGGAAGGTACTCGTCAAACAGAGCAGGCGGAGTGATGGGGGAGGAGAGCGTTTGGACAAGACTTAGATCATATAGTTTAGGAAATACTGATGTCCTCTTGGTATTTTGAATAGCTTTTACCAGCCCCAGCCAGCCTGGACAATAGTTGGGAATTAGGAGAGTTGTAGCCTAGGTAGTGCTAATCCTGAGGAAAGGCTTAAACATATCAGGGAAGAATGAGTAGCCCTCTCCTCGCATACCTTTGCTGAGACCAATTTAATTTATGTGCTGATATTTTGATAAGAGGAAGTTGCACTGTAGACCATGCTGAAGATCCCTATTTTAATTTTAATTTCTTGTGGTCTTTAATTGGACATAGGGAAGTGTCTGGAAAATGACTGAAGATACACATTTTTGAACTGTGGAAATAAGATATGGTTTTGAGACATGTCTGGAAAAACTCTTCAGAGCATATTTAATACAAAGCAATACTGTATATGACTTTGCCCTAGTCAGAAAACCATTAGCTTCAGTCCTCCCCCCCTCCCAAATGCTCTAGCTATCTTCTTTTCCTGACCTAACAATTTTTTTCCCTTGCTGGTCTTTTCTCTCCCTCCATTCCAGTATACATTAAATCCAGTACTCATTTCTACATGTGTCTGTCCCATATTTAGAAGTTGGGAGACTGATTTCACAATTTCATTAATCCAGTTGTTAGAGTAAAAGCAATATTTTCAGATGATATGATTTGTAAGATTTGTCTGAGTCACAACATATTATAAACTAGATTCTTCTTCTGATACCTGCTTATTTTCATTAAAGTAATTAAAAAAGGTCAGTGGATAACTAATTATTATTAAAGGCTGGAGTGTCCTCTACAAATATTCTATAGTGAACATGAGGAAGTGATTATGATCTTAGTGGAAGCAGTGAATAATTTCTGCAAGTTGTCTGCTAATAATTTAGTTTGAACAATTAAGGCAGTTTTGTCTTTTAGAATAAGGGTATTTATGAGATTAAAAGTGCAAAATTCCAAAATAGTCCCCTTGGAATAATTGTAGATCAAAACTTCGTAAAATTCAAGATGTAACTGGAAAATATTTAGAAAGATCTATTGTGATTTTTATTCTGCCTTTTATCTTCTTTCTGAAGCAGCTAAAATATAATGTTCTAATGTGAAAGCTGCTTAGATAGTAACTGAAAATTGTTATTTTTGCTATGCAAGTATTTGTATTCTGTTCCATTCATTTTAGGGAAAATGTGAACCATGTCAATGGAAATGTGTCAAATTCTGCTTCAGTATCCTCCAGAGAAGTTGGCAGGCTTCCTACTCCACAGTTAAGAGCACTTGGTGGAGCCCAAAGAACACATCATGACCTAACAACACCAGCAACTGGTAAAAATAAATTCCTAGTTGCTTAGGAAAATAATCTCAAAAATGAAAAGAATAAGAATAATTTACATCCTGGAAAGTTACGAGTAACACATCTGTATTACTTATTTAGGAGGCGCTGTTTTAGTATCTCCTCCAAAAATGAAGTCTTTATCCTCACTGCAAATGAGAAAAGACTCTCCAGGGAAGCACGCCATGGCAAATAATCAAATTTCAAAGGAAGATTTGAAAAGAAAATCTAACAGAGTAAGACATAACAGGTCTAAGGAAATGGGTGTAAAGATCTTGAGATACTTCTTTTTTTTTAATATGCCAACTGTTTATTATGTGTTGTTCTTTTACATATGTGACATGAAAGTTTTTAATGTTATTTTCTGATGAGATTAAAGAAATTACATTTTACCAGACAGACACAGAAGTAGCTCTGCATAACTCCCGTTTTATATTTCTGTTTGTGCATCAGAGTTAAGACACCAAACAGAGAACTTGTAAGAAAATAGTGTGTTTATGAGAAGTCCCATATTTCCACCAGATGTATGCCACTCTGTAAAAATTGACGGAAGTATAGTAAAACTTTGGGGAAAGGGAAAGAGAAATCAAAGGGAGAATGTAGGAAAATATACCTGGTGATGACTGAGTATGCTCACTGACCATGGAATATTGAGTTAAAAATCCAGGGGTATAAAGGGGGAATGAAGTAGAGCACATTTTGTTATAAATTGCTCTGTTGTTATTATGGAACTTCAGTATGCATTATTTGAAGAGGATGAGGTGAAAGGAATACAAGAGAGGGCTTACCACAGATTTATGCTCCAAAAGTAAAAAAGATACGGCATTTTAAAGATTAACAGATTTTATTGGGATTATACCTTCATCAGCCACAATCCACTGCATCAGATGCATCTGATGAAGAGGGCTGCAGTTCATGAATCTTAAATTGAAATTTGTAAGTCTTTAATGTGCAACAAGTTTCATTGTTTTTTGCTGCAACAGATAAACATGGCTACTACCCCCTGGAAAATCGTGCTCCAGAGCAATGTGGTTGTGCCATATACTCTATAATATGCAAGTTATTGCAGGATTTCAGAAGTTTCTCTGTAAGAGACCAGGTGCCACTACTTCGCTTAAACTGGATAGAGGGGAAGGCCTCCACTTCCTATTTTGTGAGAAAATCCCAAATTAGGGGGGAAAAACAAAGACATAAAGTAGCCATGTTCACTTATATAAATTGACAAAGCTATGTTGACGTAGTCATATATGAAAATGATAATCGTAATCTGACTTTCATTTATAATTATCTTATCTGCTAGTTTGAAAAGGGCCTGTGGAACATTTCCGAGGAAGAAGATACTGTACTGTGAATAGTGTTGGCACAGCATTGTTCAGGGTAATGCTGCACATAGGAAAATTCTTTATATCATGGCATTTCCCTTTTTCTTTTTACTTTCCAGGATGAAGGCGATGCTGTATCACTAGATCCTTCGCCCACTGCTGAGCTGAAAACTTTGGACCATTTGCCTCTGAGGAAAGAGCAGCAGACAAGCCAACGTGTTTCTGATATAAAAATCCCTTCAGAACAAGCACCTGTCGTCCCTGGGTATAAGTCAACTAAAAACCCTGCAGTATCTTATTGGAGTCCATCATGCCGCATTAAAGGAAGTCTGAAGGACCCCGAGTTTCAGCATAATGGTTAGTTTGCTCTGTGCTCTATATAACCTTTGCTCTTTCTTCTTCGATAAGGGCACAGTGGCCAGAATCCTATTGGTAAGGTTTGCATAACTTGCCATAACTAATTGCAGCTGGTTGACAAAATGCCAGGGTATTCCTTGGTTGCACACTGGGATGTCACCAACTCCTTGTCATTTAGCTGCAATTAGCTATGACAAGTTATGCAAGTCTTACATCAACATCAATAAGATACTGCTGGCCATTTTATTTGAAGGAATATTAAATTCTTCTCCCTTCTGATGATAGTACCAATTAATACATTAATTATGTTGGATCTCTGCTGTGAAAAGCACCTCTTATTAGCCCATAATTGGGGGGGGGGCACAGAAACCGCTTGCTTAGTCTTGCAGAAGTTTGCAGTTAGATCTGGGATTGAGTCAGTGACAGATCCTTGATCTGGAGGTGGCAGCTTCCCTTTTAAATAATCCATCCTGAGAATATTTTACAATAAATGTAATCTTCTACAGTATTAATATTGAGAGAAGAGAAGGAGATTCACTCATGAAGGAATCCAATGTTAGGATCAAAATTAAATGCAAATATGTTCCATTTAATTTTGAGCTAATATGTCTAAGTAAAATGCTAAATTGCTTTCCTGCTAGAAAATAACCATTTTTGGACTGGTGAAATGCAAGAATTCATGCTGTTTCTTTTAGGCAATGTTGTAAGTCCCAGTAGGAGCTGGCTGCAGTTACCACTTCAGGAGAGAAACTACCATGATGAAGGTATTTCTTTTTTCCTTTCTCAGTGTTCAATATAATCATCTGGGTTTGACAGATGAAGGTTAAAAGGCTACATGAAAGAGGGAAACATGAAGAAGTACAAAATATTTGTTTAACTCTCTTTTGCTAATATGGAATTATTTGTGTTTTAGAGGCTGTCTTTTAGTAATCAACGAAAGAACACCCATACACACAAAAGAGCCTTTTTTTGTTGTTTTGGTTGATTGTTAAAGCGATAAAGGCCCATCCCTGTCTTACGTCTTATGGACTTGTCCACAAAAGCTCACATTAAAATATATATATAAAAGTTAGTTTTTAAGGAGCCACCACATTTTTTTTTACCATTTATTTTTATTTTGTTTATAATGCTTGCACAGACTAACACTTAACTGGGGCTTATTTTTGGGGTAGGGCTTATATTACGAGCATCCTGAAAAATCATACTAGGGCTTATTTTCAGGGTAGGCCTTGTTTTCAGGGAAACAGGGTAATATTGTTATTAGATATGAATACTGAGGCACACAGTGTACCATGACACTCACAGAGAAAGGGAAGTTTGACAGTCTTTGTGTATACCTCACTGGTGCGTAGAAAATACACAAAATAGTTATAATCCCCCAGCAACTGCCGAAGCTGGGAAGTGGGTGAGATTGCTCAGTAAAGCAACTATAAATGCTTAAATCATTTTAAGTCACCAGGTTTTCAACACTGCTCTGTAGTCTCAGTAGTCTCTGTAGCCGTATTGTTTTCCTTTCAATTATTTTGTCTTGAGATTTTGCTACAATGTTCTTGTTTGCACTTAACCAAATGTAGCAAGCTCTTGTAATGTATGACGAAGAACTATACTATAGAAACACTGAATTTTGATAAAAATGAATTAAAGTGGAACTGCACAATATGCATATATACGGTGTATAGATAAATGTAGGATTACTTGTTTTTCAGTATAGGCAGCCGATCAATCACATTGTAACCAGAGCATATAGTTTGCTGAGCAGAACACTCAGAGAGCTCACTAGAAACAATATGCGTAACCCTGAGCAGCGTTCCAGAAAATGTTGAGACATACTTCTGGGCTCATACTGTTAGCTGGAATCAACAGGCTACAAGTCTGTTCCCTGTATGTTGTGGTTACATTTTATCTCCTTTGCAGTTTTGTACTGCATGTGAGCTAGATGTGTTCAGCTGAATAGCTGTGTGTGTATTAACTCTCCGTTATAATTATAAATAAAAAAGGCCTTACAGTGCTTTTATATTTGTGATGAAGAACATTCTTTGGGGACAGAAATGCTTGGTTGTGTTCTTTACAAGTAAAATGAAATAGTTTTAGTTTCAATACTGATTGTTCTTAAAAAACAAAGTTGGATTAAGTACTGTATTTCCAGGAAGCCATTGTACAGATATACCTTGTATGTAACAGTCCATTGAAAATGGTCTTTAAATCCTGGTTTCAGCATCTATCTACTGTCCTAATTAAATTTTCAGTGTCTGACATACAAGTTTGTGGATATATTATTCTGACTGTTACTACTGAATTTCAGCCACAGTGCAGCTAGACTAGCCCACTAAATCAGTGGAACCTACATACTTGTGAACTCACCAAATCCCCACTGATTTAATGGGCCTACTGTATTTGCGACTTCCGACTGGATTTCAAACAATGTGACATTGTTATTTAGGAAATCTGGAAGCATATTTTGGCTTTGTTTCATTTTAACAGCTCATAGAGTTGTTCCTGTTACATTTACAGATGAGGACGACCAATTATCCCAGCTGTCTGCTCGTTCTGCAGCATCGAGTTCCCTTGCATCCCAAGTTCTAGAACGAGCTCAGAGGAGAAAAGAGAACTTCTGGGGCAAAATGTGATTGCATTCTACTGTTTTTGTAAATAATTTTATACTTTGATGTTTCAGTAGCAATCTTTGAATATTATTTGGCACTCTCATTTGCATCTACCGACTTTATAGACAGGTGATATCATAGGAAATGGCGGTGTTTGCTCCTTTGTTATCAGATGGGAGCTGGGGATGGACAGCATGTCTTACACATGAGAGCTCTACCTCATGATGTTTCAAAATCATTCAAAACATGTTTTTAGCTATAGCATAAAATGTTTCTATTTAAGATACAATTTAGGAGATTTTAAAAGACTCAGTGACAGTATAATAGGGAACATGTTCATCTTTTTCACCATCACAAGTAGGTTAACGAGAGGCAATCAACAATAATTTAAAGGTAGGGTGAAGTTGGATAGATATGGATTGCCTGCATTTATCATTACTTCCTTAATCTCTGCAGATTATTACTCTGGCTATTTTCTTAGCATTCACTAAACTAAACAATTATTCATCCCACCCAGGATATTCACATGACTCTTCTACATTCCTTACACATTGCTTTTAGTCTTTTTTGCCACAATACTACCTTAGCATTTCCTAAAATCTATCCAAGTATTTGCAGGTGCTCTAAGAGGAGACTTTCTTCTTAACCAAGTTTGTTCAGGTTCCAAAAATAATGACATTGACGTCCTCCCATGATGATTGTGTCTCAGGGATGCTAAATTGTTTCAGGTTTCCTTTATGAATTTACAACCATGTTGAATTTATTCACAAGCTGTGAATGACCTGACACCACAGCAGCCTGTTTAGTTGTTAGACTCTCTACTTCATCCTTGTTCCCAATTTACAATTCAGAGTTATTTTCACTCCCCTTCATTCTTTACTACTAAAATGTCCAAGTTAAATATCAGTCCAGTGTACTCCAGGTGTGAATATTTAAAGGACTTTGGTGGAGTGGAGCACATGAGCAGCCTATGAATGTTATGCCTATGCATTTCACATTTCACAGAATAATATATTGTTATAGATAATCTGTTCTGTTGAAATCATAGTTGAAGATACCTTCAGGTTGTGTCCATGTCATCACTGTTAGCCTTGTTAGAAATATCTGTACTGATAGCAAGATCACTGTTAATCTTATGTCTATATTATGTTACCATAACCATACTTCTTCTGAAGACTCCCATATTTTGAGAGGACAGAGTTCCAATAATGGATTGTTATATCTGTGTTTCATTTTAATTCTCTTTCTTGATTTATTTATGTCTGTATTATGTTACCACAACCATACTTCTTCTGAAGACTCCCATAATTTAATCTATGTTTCATTTTAATTCTCTTTCTTGATTTACTATTTCTGTTATTGTAAAATGTTTTTAAAATCAAGATTGAATTTTCATTTGTGATGAATGCTGAAGAGATTGTTCTTTCCTCCTACTGTTCCCCCCACAACACTGCAATACGGACTGAGAGTGATTTGTAAAGAAGTCATTTTTATATACCGTATTTTTAAATGTTAGAGTTGTCTGTTAAAAGAACCCCTGAGTTGTATATGTGTGTTAAAATAAAAAACAAGTTCTGTTTTTGTGTAGAACAAATCCTTCATTAGAAATAGTAGTTTTCATTAGCAAATGGTGAATTTGCCTTATTTTCTATGTCACTTCCATAGTTTCATCCATATTTCAGTCCACATCTAAATTTGTGTGTGTATTTTTTTGCAGTATGTATTTAGATTTTGTTTTGCCTCACAATAAGAACTTACATGTTTATTGTGATATGTTTAAATTACCAAAATTGCATTGTGAGAGCTAGAGAAATAACTGATCTTGAGGGATGGCTATGTTCTGATCCACCAATTACAGTAATGTGAAAAGAAAGTAAACTCTCTTTTGATTTTATGGTTTTATGTATCAGGACATGATAAAAATCATCTCGTTAGCAGGTCTGAAAATTAGGTAAATACAACCTCAGATGAACAAGACCATCCAGATCTACCCGAATCACCCAACATAGCCAGCAGGGACGGCTGAGGGGCCTGACGCCGAGGGAGGCCCGGAAGGAAAAAACAAGAAACCGGGCCTTCTCGGTTGTGGAACACTCTCCCTACTGAAATTTGGCTGGCACCCTCGCTGGGTGTTTTCAAAAACCAGTTGAAAACTTGGTTATTTAAACAGGCCTTCCCTCCAGTCAATTAAGTGTTTTCTTTTTCTTCCTTGTTTTTCATACTTTGTTCTTAACATTCCCATAATTTGAGAGGACAGAAAACACACAGTTGTGGAATATCTGAGGAAGTGGACTTGTCCACGAAAGCTCACATGAAAATATAGCAGTTTAAGTTGCCGCAACATTTTTGTCGTCTTTATCTTTTATTTTTGGCCTGATACATTTTGTGCAGGAATCTGCCAGTTCTTCAAGCATTTCTAATATTAAGAAACAAAACCCACAACTGAACCATTATGTCTGCTGTCTACTAAAATTTTCAGTAGTTCCACGAACCTGAATATTGCAGCAAAGTATTTCATTACTACGTAGGAAAAGCACACCAAATTTTCATCGTAGCCCGTTTACAGAAATAAAACACAACATACAGGATCATGATTGCCATTCTTCATTCAGACATCAACAGCATCATTTTCTTCATTGAGCTGCATGACTCAGAGTAACAGACTGAGCACGTGGCATCCACCCCCAACCCAAAAGTGCCTTAAGTGGCTTTATGGTCTGTATTCCTGAACAATAACTAAACTTAAAACCTAAAGTAAACAAAAAGTCCATGCAAATAAATTGTCAATTTCAGTAACATTTAAAAAATGATGAGAAGAGAAAAGGCTTTTAGCAATGAACGTATGCCTTTCTGTAACAATGTACACTTAACTGTATCTACTCAGATATTCTGCAGAGCTCAGTAAGCTCTAGGTGAGAGACTTTAGGGCTGGAACCCCACAAGTTTCATAAGTCATTGCTTGGCAGCTACCACAATAAAACAGGAAATACAGAAATGTCAGTATAAGTAAACTATTCTCAGTGGTTGGCTATATAGGTCATAAAATAGAATATTGCTCCATCATGAAACATGCTTGATGGGAACAGTGAAAAGGCACTGTATGAAGTACAGAAATCTTACACACATGTATGAGTTCAGTACCAGTGTGGTCAGTCGGTCGTCAGTGATTCACACATCTTAAGACACAAAAATGAGACACTTATCATTTACGAACTTTAAAAATTATTGTTTAATATATTGGTGTGTATACCTGCTCTACACCAGATCACACCTTTGCTGCTAGTTCAGTATTGTCTACCAAATCTGTTGCCCACCTGATGTTTTGGGCAAACCTTTTATCACCCTGAGCCAACATGGCTCAATGAACAGGACTTAACAGTTTCATATATTTGGAGCACATTAAATTGGGGGTGTTGGTCTACACTGACAGGTGTTCTTCAGTTCTTCAGATGGGAGTCCCCCTGCCTGGCCTGGAAATGTTGAGGATTGAACCTGGAATGTGGGCAAAGCAGATGCTCTTTCACTGGGGTCCAAGCAATATGTTTATTTAAGATGTGCCATGAAGCTGTGCATCTCCTTTCCCCCTAACAATTTGCAAACATGGAATAAAGTACACAGGAATAAGGCTTATTAGGATGAGCTCCCAGGATGATGAGAAGCGGTCCACTCTGATCTCATTCCTACAAGGTTTAAAGAATTAGTCTCCATTGGCATCAGTGCATTGCTAGTAAAAGTGTTCTCCACATCTGTCGTTAATTGTGACCCCCTCCCCAAGCTCATAGCTGCATGCTGAGATCCAAGGACCCTGGGCTGAGACTGAGCTATGCGTGATCTAGTAGACGGAAGGCGCACAAATGGAATTGTGTATATAATAACAATGGCAGTTAAATAAATTTCTGCTTTAGTTCCTCTCTGCTCCCATGGCATTCTTCATTTCCCTGTCCTTTGGTTACTGGTAGCAAAGAGGTAGACTGATAATCAAACGTTAGTAATATGAATTCATAAGTGCCTCATTACCTGTTTCATCATATGTTTGGCTAGTCTAACAGTTACTCTGCCATGTTAAACTCACAAATGCTGGATTTCAGCCACAGATATCAATATTATAAAACATATTATAGATCTGTGAAAGTCAACCCAGCACCAGATAAGAGAGATTAAAATTGTGCTGAAAGAAGTATTGTATAGAGAAGAAAAAGAAAAAAAGAAAACATCAGCACAGCATTTTTTCGCCATTACATAAAGTGGATTTTAAAATAAATTTAATGATATTATTTCTTTGCATATAACACATGCTTTCTGAAGGACTTGCACTGAATTTAAGATTTTTTTTAAAAAATGCTCTCTAATTAATCAGCAGAGCTTGGAAAGGTGCTTCTGTCAGGAATTGATTTCTGTTGTTTGTGTCAATGTGAAAAAGTAATTACGTTAACTATTACAGTGATTGGATGATAGTTGACTATTATTTATTACTTATTACATTCCCAGCATTTTTTAGAAAATGGCATAAAACTCAAAAAATTCCACTCAAAATGCTTTTTAGAATGCTTTAAAAATATACCTAGCTAGGAAAAGTAGTTAGAAAATGCTACCTATTTCACACACATTGTTGTTGTCCCCAAGGATTACATTATTTTTGCAATGTTGCTTCATTTGTTACCAAAAGGAGTAATGTATTAGACTGAGAGGATTATGATCCAACATTTTGCGGTGAGCTGCCTGCCACTACTAGAACCACAGCCCACTTAAGCTCAGAACTTTCTTGACATATGTGGTGTCCATACTCTGTTAACCAGGAGACTCTTCTCGGACTATCAAAATTATATAAACCGATAACTAGAACTGATTAATTGATCAAATATTGCAGTCCAATTTAGTTTGAGAATGTACTAGTGGCAGCAGATTGACAAATGTGTGCTAAAAGAATAAGTAATGCCAATAGAGTACCATCGTGGTCTTTTGTGTAGCTCAGCCCTTGGAAAATCTCATCCAAGTATTTGAAATGTGTCAAATTCGTGGTATAATATAATAATTTATGTACCAGTTATAGAAATCAGTGTCAACCTTTAAAGTACAGACATGTCTATGCAAGTTCTAGGGGTATGTGGCTTAAGAACTTTATGATTAATGACTATGAGACAGACCTGAAATGAAGGAGGAAGTGCTTGTGGCTTCTTGCCTTCTGTTCTGTTACTTTGAATCCTCTCTGTTATATATGGGTCAGTTGTTGCAAATGGCAAACCACCCTGACTTACCAGTCACTCTGACTTGTCAAAGAGGGAAACTCAGCATACAACTGTGGTGTAGGCAATTGAAGTGTTGCCCCAGAACTTATGAGTGGGAAAAGGCTAATTTCTGAGACGCTGCTGAAAGAAAAAGGAAAGGAAAAACCCTAAGTGGGGTCAGGAGTATCATTTTGCCTCCTGCATCATTTTTATTCCTGTCTATGCTCTGTAACAAATGAAGAAACCAAAATGGTGTGAAATGAGAATCAATGGTGTGGTTACAATCCTTCACTATTTGATAAGGCTGGCTCTATCACTGGGTAGAGTGAAGCAAGTGCCTCAGGTGGTAGATACTTGGGGAATGGCAGTGGCTGTTCCCTGACTGATGCCTGGTCACTTCGTTTTGTGGAGGACTGAGCTGCGTTTTGTGTCCTCATACCTTAAA